TGGCTGGCTGGACTGAGAGAGGAGGTAGCGATCTGCAGCAGAGCCATCGAAACTGTGACGAAGCTCAGAGACCCCGTCCAAGACAGGAGAGAGTTTACTTCTCTGGACGTCCCCTGGTGAGTCCTTGGAGTCAGGAAAATTGTCTGTATCTGACTGATTCGTCATCCCCCTGGTAATTTTTTTCAAAGGTGAACTTCTCTCCAGGTTGTCAGTGGTCGAGATAATGGGATGATCGTGCAAGACAAGCTCAGATCCGCCTGAATGTGGGTAGCTGCTGCTCACATTGAGAAATTTCTTGGAGAGCATGATAGAAGGAGAAAGGCAGTGCTCCAGCTGCATAGCTCTAGAACCTGAACACTCGCCCTCCTGTCCCTGGTTTTTAAAGTCCTATTTATCATAAACTAGAAATCCACAGACCCCCTCACTAGACAGAAAGCACTTCAACCAGCAAATGCTTCTCAAAGGTTTGATTTACTTTTTTTTTTTCCCTGGGAGAAGAGATTGGCCAATTGACACTATGCAGCAATCAGAAAAGGCTCACTTTTGATCTTGCTGCTTGTGCAGCCGATGAAACGGCTCCTGCCATTGGTTAACTGCTGACAGTAATTTAATTAGATAGACATTAATTAGGATAATCACCTGGCTCCTGGTCGCGACGATCATGGCAAATTGAAGGGGATGATTTTATTGTTGGCTTGGGGGTGGGGTGGGGTGGGGAATGTGTGTTGGCTTTACGTGAGCACTGTTGTGTCACCTTTAAGCTTTGTGACCACTGCTTTAGGAAGATTCAAAGATGTGCAATTTACTAAACATTTTCCTACCTTCCCCCCCCCCCACCACCACCACCTCCCTCCTCTCGAGCCGAGGGGCGGAGGAGGGAATTCGATGATGCTAGGAGACTTTTCGGATCTGAATGAGCCAAATATTCAGTTGAATGTAACGATTTCAAGTGCAAAGTATACAAAGCGCGAGCCGGTGGCCTCTTCTCGCCCTGTAAAAGTTCCAGAGTCTGTCTTTTCCAGTTAATACAGAAGCACATAACACCTGAGCCAGTCCTTTGTGAGCGGGTCCTGCGGGTCCCCGGCGAACCGCCCCCCCCCACCACGCACACCTTTTTATCCACACACACAAATAAATAAATCTGTGCGGCTGAGAGCGGCGGCGAGCGGGGCGGGGGCGGGGGCGCGGGCGGGGGGCGAGACGCTGCGGCTCACCCACCATCCGCCCACCTCGGGAAGGTGCGGCTTCTCGCTCCAGCACAGACGCGGTGACAATCCACGATCACCTTTTTTTAAGTTCTGAAATAATCATAAGCCGTCGGGCTGAAGCGCCCTAATGTGTTTGCAGTGATGCCTACGGGGTCTTTGCTAAATATTTTATCAGCGAGCTCGGTTGCAGGTTGTGTGCAGAGCGAGCCCGTGGCGGGGGCCGGCGCCGTGCGCTCCCCTCGCTCCGAGGTGCTGGCGCGGCGGCCGGGCCCGGGAGCCTCGCCAGGGCAGGAAGGGCCGAGCCCCGGTGCCGACGGGGTCGCGGGCGGCGCTGATCTGCGGAGGCGCAGTGGAAGCGGTGTCGGCGCGGGGGTCGATGCCGAGGACGCGTGTGCGTGTGTGTGCGCGCCTGTGTGTACCGTTTATATAATCTGGAGGGGAGGGAAAAAAAAAACCCATACCAGTAAGTTTAAAACGAGGAGGCTCCAACGGAGGAATAGAGAAAATAACCCATTTAAAAGGATGTTGGCACAGATAAGTAGCACGAGGCCCAGAGCGACCCCGAGATGTCGGAAGGAATCCCCGGTGCCGGCTCCGGAGGGGGAGCGGCCCGCGCGGGGCCGGCGGCCGAGAGCTGCATCCGCCCGAGGCGCTCCCCCTGCCCGGGACGCCGAGCCCGCGGGGAGCCGGGGCGGGAGCGCGGCGGCGCCTCGGGGCCGCGGGCCGGCGGCCGGGAGGACGGGCTCCCGCGGGCCTCCCCGCCCTGCCCGCGCCCTGCCCGCGCCCTCCCCGCGCCCTGCCCGCGGCCTCCCGGCCCTGCCCGCCTCCGCGCGCCGCATTGTCTGACGTCCCCGCGCCCAGGCCGCCCGCCGCCCGCCGCCCGCGAGGCCCGGGGAGCGTGGGGGCAGCGGCGCGGGGCGCAGGGCGCGGGGCCGGGAGCTCGCCGTGCCGGGGCGCCCGGGCAGCCGAAGCCCTCCCCGCACACGGCGCGCCCGCGCTCCCGGGCCTCGGCGCCTCCCGGCGGAGAGCGGCGCTGGGGACGCGGGGGCTCCCGGGCCCGGGCACAAGGGCTTGGCCCCCGCCAGGGCGCTGCCTCAGTGGGCCTGAGTGGGCTGCGCAGGGTCCCAGCTGTGGCCTCCGGCCGGCGCCGCCAGCCAGGCCCCGCGGACCACGGCCCTGGGCCGGGCGAGCGGGGGACCAGATGTCCAGACAGTTTGCTCGGAGAAATGCAGCCAGACCCGTTTTTTTTTTTTTTTTTCTTTTTCCCCCTTTCGGAAGCGAATCTCAGCTCCTGGCCACGAAGCTTCATAAACAGGCAGGGCCTTGGCTGCTGAGGCCTCGGGGTGCGGGGGAGGGGACAGAAGCTGGGATACTATTTGACGCCGGGGTTTTCTGCGGATTACCCTCCACCATCATTTCTCCTGAGAGGTTTTTGCCCAATTTTGTCTACTCTCGTTTTCTCCTTTCCGTCATTAACTTGTCTCTGAGCGCCCCTCTGCCCCCTGCTTCCGAGGTCACCCACCTCCCCCCCCCCCACCCGCCGCCGCCTTTCTCAGTGGGACGAGAGCCTTAAGTATATGGCAAAAAAGGCCAGACTGCACCTGGGCCCTAGAAGCTGTCTCATTCGCGCACCCTGAATTAACTTTTTAAAGAATGAAGAATGCAAAAATGAAATGTTAAGGTATAGAAAAGGGATAGAGTGCACCTTCCAGTTTTTGAGGAATTGGAGGAGATAAATGTGCATTGACCTCAGATTATCTGTACTACATTCAGCAATTCCTCCCTACAGGAACTCATATATGCTCCAAAGGGAAATTTCACTTTCCTCAAGATCAGCACACCTGCTCTTGAGCCATACTTGTGTGCAGCAGGGCTCCTCAGGGTTCAAAGTGCACATGAACCACACCAGGATTCTGGATTCCTGATTCAGGTCCCAAGCCTGGATTTTGTATATATATAATGAGCTCCCCGAAGACCCCGCTGCTCCTGGTCCAGGCAGACCACACTGCATGGGGAGACTGGAGCTTCCAATGGCCTCATGTTAGTCTAAGAGGAAAGCAGGGGCATCTCTACATTAGGGGCAAGCGGGAGTTCAGGTTCTTGTGTTGCTTTAATACTGCATAATAGATGGGTGAGGATGCTCAGTAAGTACATACACACCTGAGCTAGTGATTAAGTAAGTGGTTTCAATGCCTAACGGGACTCGAGCCACCAGGCTGCTGCTAGAATAGGTGTACCTTCCAGGACAAAAGTGTTCATTGAGACTCAAGGGATCCTAATTTTGATTGATTACAAATCTCGAAAGAAAATGTAGCTTTTGCTAGGAGGATTCCTGGTTTTGAAATTGGAAGTGTCTCCACCATGAATCAAGTAGAAGGTAGTGCTGGTTGTGGGGAGCCCAGGAGGATAGGTGATCAACTAAGAGCAAAAGGCAGGCATTGTATAAGCCTTCTCAGGAGATGCTTTCAGGAGACTAAGATGAAAAACAAAAAAATTTTCCAAATGGAAAGTTGAGAATAACCCTTAGATTATTGAGGCCTTCTTCTGAGGGCATATTGTATGAAAGAAATCTTGACTAGCTCTAATGAATAGCTGTGAAATAAATCATAGAACCCTATTTATGTAAAGGGAAAAATCACGTATCCAAAAAAAAGTCTGCACACAAGGTTAAATTAGGCAAAAGGAAAACTTCTGCTAACTTCCACTTATATTTTAATTATAATGGTTAGTTGTAATGTCAACAATTAAATTAATACATATTACATGTCCTACATAAAACATACTATGACTATATATAAAAGAAAAAGCCACAGGACAAGCAAATGCTCAGAACACCTCTTATTTCACCAAAAAAGAGACTGTGAAACACGGTGGGAATTTAAGCCATTTCTACTTTTAGTTTCTGGTAACTATTCATTAGGCAACCAGTAAGAGCCTAGAATTGTTCAAACAGGACAGTAATTTGGTCTATCACGTCACTCCTACCACCTAAGAGGCTAAATCTAAATTCCAAGTCCCCAAGTAAAACCTTCTTTTAATGAAGCCTTAGAAACAAACATTTTTACCATATTTTCACAAAGAGTACACATAAGAATTAAATCTGTCTCCATATGTTTTCGCATACTCCTTGCTGTACCCAAGAATGGTGCTGTGCCATGAGTACCAATGGGGGCAGCTATTCATGTATGTCGGGTTAGAAACAGGTTGAGGGATAAGGTCATCTGTTAAATGGGCCATTAGTCAAATTTTTGTCTTTATCAGAAAACGTAGTTTTGAGAAAGATGAGAGAAAACAGTAACAAAATTATTTCTTATGTGCTCATGATATTAAATTTACATTATGTTGACTTTTCTCAATTTGTTTTGAAGAGATTATATACCTCATATGGTTGTCTTAGCGGATAAAGTCTAGTGGACTTTGGAGCAGGCAACTTCCAGGGAATCTCAGCATTGGTAGAATGTACTCTTCAAAAAAATAATAAAGTCTCAATTAACACTGTCCCCTCTTTCTTCTTAAACATACTCCTCTGAAACCCTGGAAAGTATAATACGTTAAGATACTGACTATACGATATAAAATATGTCAACATTTTTTCTGGGTTACTCACTAATGGGGCAGCAACTCCTTAATGGCAATCATTTTACATTTGTGAAGTTTTGTTATCACGTTGATGTTTTATGTGTTATCAGATCTTACATTGCAAAGAGAAACATATCTTTGTGTGAGATTTCTAGAGCACTGTCAAATGTTATTCTGTCAATTCCACCCAGTGCCAAAAAACCTCAGGAGACATAGATTGTAAATGTATTTTATTTTGTAAGCAACAATCAAAATATATTTGTGTTACTGATTTCTTCAAATATTAAATGGGATCTTAACAAAATTTGTCCACTTTGATGTATTCTTATACAACTTTGGAATCTGCAAAGACCCTGACTAAAGAAACAGAAGTAATTGCACAACTGAGACTGAAGGTGTTACAGTGCTGCAAATGATGCCAGATGTCTTACATTTAACCAAACACACCTTCAGAGGTCCCTTGATTTTGAGCATTAGGAACAATAGAGGAATATACGCTGAAAGTATCACCAATAGCTTTTTGCATGGTTTTATTTAAATACGACAGTATCCAACATAGCTGCTAAACACTGGACAATATTTGAAGTCATAAGGACATCCACATGTTCCTCCAAATGACGTTTGGGGTCCTAAATTAAAAAATAAAAAAAAGGAAAGAAAAAGAAAAAAGAACCACATTACTGATAGAAGAATTACTTAGTGTAAATAGTTGAAAGTGGTAAAGAAAGCCAAACCTAAATTTATATTTATCTTACAATTTAACTTTCCTACTTTCCTAATATATTGTTATATTCTCAGGATTTCTAAGTGTATTTAAAAATTAAGCACCTGATAAAATAATAGATTACACAATGAAAAACTGATTTACACAATCAATGCTACGACTCTGGACCAGAAATTACAAAGAGTAACAAGGAATTCTATACAGGCGCAGCATCTGATTTTTTAAAAACAAAGTATAAGCATTTATAAGTGTGCATAAGCCCAAGTATGCATGCATATTTTCTGCCATTCATATTTATTGACTGTCTGAGTGGGTTCTTTACTCGAAGCAAACATACCAATAGGTGAGAGTTCAATGTGAATTATCTCTCATCACTTCCTCTGTAATTTTAATTTAAATTTAATTCCTGTACAATTTTGATATTTCAGAAAAGGTGCTTTAAATGGCTCAGGAAATATTCCTGGATCAAAAGTCACTGTGTGTTGTTAAAAATTTAAATACAATGTTAAGATATACATACTTTACATGTATATAATATGTATGAAATAATGGTAAGGATACATATTTCCTGCAACTATTTTGAAAAAATAGTATATCACAGAAAAGTATATAGGTACAATCTTTTAACTGAAACCTGATCGAATCTGTATTTCAAATGTCTGAGTTAAAAATGAGGCTTAAAATAACATTGTAATAAATGAAGTTAAATTAGAATGCTTAATTTATGTTTATGTTTAAGGCTGAGCTGAATGAAGTATTTCAGCTAAATGTGAAAGCTTTAAAAAAAAAAGATACATGTATATATTGCACACAATAAAAAAACTCTCAATTAAAGCATTATTTTTGTATGGGTATTGCTTAAATACCCAAGACTCCTACTTTAAACAAATGCTCATCAATGGAATTATTTCTTGGCTGTTCTTTTCTAAATTACAATTTCAATACATACCTGATTTCCTTAAACAATCCAGAAATACAACATGCTACAAATAATTTCAAGTAACTAGACCACATATTAAATTTTCTTTATTTCAGAAATAAACCTTAGGACACTTTATAGGTGAAAGTGTCTAGAAAGACTGGCAGGAGAAAAAGACAGTGATCTGATTCCATTACAGACAGCTTTTGCTTTTGCCACGCAATAGGCTGAACCAGTGAAGTACTAGATTTTAAAAAATGATTCTGAAGATTATTCAACTTTGCCCATTACATATTTTTCAGCTTCATTTTTATTTTAGACCTTTTATTCGTTGCTGTTAAATAAAATCTACATCGTAGCCTCAGAGTCATTTATTGCAAAAACAGTTAGTGAGTTCTATAAAGTGCAAGGCTCCAAGTCGGAGATCTAATAATTTATCTTAGACTACAATAAGTAGTGGGAAAAAGCAAGGTAACTAGATCACATAGGATGAGAGAATAAGATGAACCATACTCCATTTTGTGTGGGTAGTGTTCTAGCTGTTTTTAAATTGTAATATTCAGGGTGTAGTGAGATTTAATTTTACTAAGTATGATATTTAAGTCAGACCTTTGCCCCTACTGCTCTATTGGAGTAACTGGTTCTGTAGTGAATTGGTAACACACTTCCCTCAGTTATCTACATTACTTCTTGTGGCAGCTGGGTGATTCTTAGAGATTTCCCATCCAAGAATGGTCCTGGCCCAAACCTACATAGCTTGTGAGATGTGATGGGATCAGAGCATATGGTAGGATGGCTGAAAGCAAAGACAGCTTAGTGTCTTGCATCTGAAATATCAAGATTCTGCCAACATCAGCAATATGATAACCATGTTCCATGAAATGAAAAAAAAATGTAATCAACATTCTTTAAAAAACAGTCTAATTAATCTGTAGATTCTTTTAATTGGTTGGTGTGTTCCCCCAACCCTCAGAAAATAGGAACTAAAATATATATTTCATCTTGGAAAAGTGAAAGAGCAAATACTTAAAACCCTTTCTCCTCACTCACTATAATCCAACGGGGCTCTCAGCCTTCTCAGGAACACTACCTACATACTGAAGCCTACATATGGACAAATTGTATCATTTAAAAAAAACTTACATATGAAATAAATCTACCATTCTGTTATCTTTACTAATAATATTACTTGAAGTGAAAATAATACTTGAAAAACTAACTCAGGACATAAGTCTCCTAACGTATATCTAGTAAATTATTTTCACTAAAGATAGTATCTCTCAGATCTATTTGTGACTTCACGATGTATGGCAAAGAGAATTTGACATCAAGTAATTCAGTGACCTTTAAAATTAACATCATGTTTACAAGACAAAAGAAAAATATAGAGTGAACAAATAGGAAAAAAAAATTACACTGGCCCTAAAACAGTTTTAACTCTACAAGAGCACGTTATTATGCGACTGCATAACCTATTACGGTATAGCTCACCTGCTTGCCAACATTCTTTATTGCCAGCTGTTCAGGTGTCATCTTATCTTCTTCTTCTACAGCCTGTGAATGAAACACAAAGGACAGACTTTCAAATTCTAAATTTACTTTTCCCACTGCAGAATACTCACTGAAGGCAATGGTGATCATAATTTCCATTCACAGAACCTTTTATTCAAATGACTCATGAAACAAAAAAGCAAGTTTGCTAATCTTCACAATCACCTTCAGTGTCATAAAAACTACTACCACCATCATTTTGAAAACAGACTTCAGAAATACGTAAAAGACATCGAGTATGTCAAACTGGATCACCAAATGGTAGTATTAGCCATCTGGAAACTACAACAGAATTCTTTGAGGGATGGCTACAGTGGAGGAGAGCAGTACCTGAGGCAGCTGCTTATGGCACCTCGATGATAAGCAGTCCACTCTGCCTTCTCTTCCATGCCCTACTTTCATCACACCTCTGCCCCAGTCCCATTTCTTTGTCTTCTCTTTCTTGTCACCTGAACCTGTGCACACCCAGTTATCGGTTAACTACCAGCAGCTAATCGGATCAAAGGAGCTGCTGACTTTTGATCCACTTAACAAATCATATGGTTTTCTCCCTTCATAACTCTACATGTATTCAGAAAAAAATCTCACTTTTCCATAACTGATCTTTAGTAATCATGAAGAAACAGAGTCATCTGAAGTTTTCAACAGGAAAAAACTTGGATTAAAAGCCAACTTAAGTAAAATTCAATCAACCACAACAATATATACAAACTGTTTTCTATTTTCAGTTAGCTATAAAATCTTGTGTATGACCATAAATCTTCTAGCAAGTAATTATGAAATAACGACAGCATTTAGATTAGCTACCATCACTGCCTCCCTCTATCGACAATGGTACTACCATCAAACCTCTTTGTTAGAAGGAACCTCCTGAGGAGTTTGGGCATGTTTCTGTCCGAAGCCAGGGCGCTCTATCAGGTGAACTCCTGGTCTAGGATTTATTCATAGCATCCAATAAATGGAAAACAAAGAAAACCGAAGGATCACCAACCTTAAGAAATAACACCACAGCACTTACCACAAATATGATTACAAAAGGGGTGAGATGGTGGGGGTGGAAAGCAGGAAACCAAAATCCCAGCGAGGGTTAGATTTGGATACTTTAAACTTAATAATCTCGCAGCTGCCAAATTTCTTCATGTGTGAACAATGAACATGTAGGAAATGCAATCATCAGACATTTCCCATAAACTGGGAAGTTTGGCTGCATTTCACACCTTCTTAATAGTTTTGTAAACAGAGAACTTGAAAATGAGCAAAGATGGCAAGTGTCTAATTTTATAAATGGACAAACTATCTAGAGAATTTTCCCCAGTAGAACCTGCCTAAAGAGAAAAGATGGTGAATAAGTACTGTATCTACTGATTATTAGAGGATACTTATTTACAACACATCATTAAGAAAATACATTTATGACTCATAAAACTGGAAGGAAAAATAAAAGCTAATAACAGTCCAAATCTAGGGAATTCTAGAGAATATGTTCATTTTCAGAGTCAGATGTCACTCCTATTATGCTCAGCTAGTTTAAAAAAGTATTACCTAAGTGGGAAATTGCTCCTCCTGCTATCTCAATGCTTTACATATATAGAAACATGAGCAACACCTAAAAAGTTTTTCTCAATTACTTTTACAAATCATGAGACTATACCTTACCGACTTGAAAACATTATTAGATGAATGGAACGATTCAATTAAGTTTGTACTCTGCATTCATTCAGTGTTAGTTGCTCTATGCTCATGTCAAAAACACAGTACGGTATTGGAGGGAGGTAAGAATCTTGGAATCTGACTCAAAATGTCAGTCAATAGACAAAATAGTTATTACAAAGTATTTTGGAGTACTGCAAATATCAAAGATGGCAGGTATGCAAAGATGAAAGTCAAAAAGCATTTAAAGCATTGATCTTATTTAAAAGGTTAAATAGAATGTGAAAAGCTCTAACTTAATTTTAAAAATCTTTTACATCATTTAACCACTTTACCAATTAGTTTTTCCATTTCCAATAATTAAAAGAGAGAGTTCACAAACTCTTTGAGAAGTGCAGATGGTAAAAAGTACTCTCAGCCATAGATGCCATCTGGAAAATGAGGAGCAGCTGTAGATTTAGGCATATACTAAGGTTGCAAACCCCCATGACAAAGAATAAGCACATCTCTTTCATTCTAAGATAGACCAGATCAGACCCGATCATCACATCGAACCCCTAAATATTTTCTTCACTTACCTAAGTCACCTATATCTCATCTACCATCTGGGCAAAACCAGTCTTCATTCATAGTTCTAATCTGGCTAGTCACCAGGAAAAATTAAGAAATGGTAGCAGCAGAAACAAATGAAATTCAGGCACAGGCAGTGTCCTCACTAGGGGAACTTCTGTGTTTATGGCAACTTCTGTGATTTGGCATCAAATTTTGCTTTTGCATTCATGCTCTTCGGTTTACTCAACCAACAAAAAAGCACTGAAAATGTTTGTGGCTATTCACACTAGAAACGTTTTTAACAGTTTATCAACAAAGACCCCCAGATGGCTATCCCATCATGCACGGTCTGCACAGTTCTAAGAAATTCCTAGAATTTGGTCTGTTATGTTATCATAATCCCATCAGACGTACCCCCATCTTAAAGAGGCTTTTATGAAACCCAATTAACTTCATTCTCTGTCTTCTGGTAATGGTCAAATTTCTTAAATGGAAAACCTTTATCTCAAATTCTACCATTTAATTTTCCCTTCAACAGATACGGAATGGATTCTCTGCACTTCATTAACACCTTTTTAAGGCTCTCCACCAGGTAAATTTCAACAAACTCCGTTTTCTTGAACTTTCTGAACACCTTTAAGAGTTTCTCCAATACCTGTTTTCTCTTCTAATCCTTTAACCCTCTCTGGTTTTATGATGTCATGTCTCTCATTCCACTTCCTACTTCTCTGGTCCTTGGGAGGCTTCTTTTTCCCTTGAAATGTTAACTTTCTTCACTCTATAACATGCCATGCTCCCATTTAAGGACATGCTTTCTAAATTTCTAAAAATTACCATAAAAATATGGTAATTTCTTTCACCATTAAACAAGCTCTGCACTAGTGAATGTTAAGATAACGCATTTCACTTCTTTCCTGATTTTCTGTGAAGTCAATGAAGTCAATCTTAGTATATGACTATATAACCGAGAATCACATTACTAGGTTAAGGTGGTAGAGAATGAGTTTAAAGAAACGACTTTTATAAAACGTACTTGGGAAAGCAAAATTAACAAACATGAAACAATTAGAAATCTGAGACAGGATAAGATGTGTGAGTATGGAGAACATAAAATTGGCTTTCCTACCACTATCAGTATATTAATTTACTGAATCCTTAAAACATCCCAGTGAAGTAGTTAATCTACATTTTACTTAAGCAGAAATTAGGCACCCCCCCTCCTTTTAAGGAACTATATGTTAATTCCAGGAATACTTCTATTATAAAAAAAATATTTCTAACTCTCCTTTTGGAATAGCTTATAACATTCCAGTACATTCTATACCTGTCCTCAACAGCAGAATTTTCATTTTATATATTTAATAATCACGTTCTGAATAAGATAGTTTTTGCTCTTCAAGGAGCTCATATTTGGGCTTTACTTGCCTATAAATCTCAAACTGCAATGCAGAATGAAATATACAAAAATGGAGCATGCACAAAGAATGATGCAGACACATTTAGCCATACGGCCAATAAGCAATGTGACTTCAACTGTACTATCTATCTCCAAAGACCTTGAAGCAACATTCATGACAATTTAGGAAATGATTAGATTAGTTTTTAGTGACACATCCTGAATAATAATTAAGCCAAATCCGTGATTTAATAAGTGGCCTGAATAGCGCATAAGTTCTTTCTAAAAATCTTACAGGGAATTCAATTTTAAAGTGTAATTACACAAAACAGGGACACATAATAAAGATCCTATGTTTGCATATGCACACATAATAGAAATTATAGTTCAGCTTGTTGGAAAAATTTCTATGGCAGAATCTATTTGATGCCTACCCAACTTTTCTCTTCCCCTTCTTCTTTGATAATATAACCCTGATTTTATTAAAGACAGTGATGTTCCTAGGTAAAAGACCACACTATACAGCCTTTCTCAAAGCAAAGTGTGTCCACCACTTGAGTTCTGCCAATGAATTATAGTCAGAAGTGCTGCTGGATAGGACTTATGAAAAGGATTGTGAAAGGAACGGATTTAGCTGGGAAGTATTCCCCCCTTTTGCCCTACCTTTTTTACCTGTTGCTGGGAACTCAGATGAGATGCTAAAGCTCTAGCAATGACCCTGAATCATGAGGATATCTACAGGATGGAAGCCAATATAATGGTAGTGGAGCAAAAGATAGAAAGAATCTGGGTTTGGGTCACCTGGGTGGTTCAGTCCATTGAGCATCCGACTCTTTGTTTCGGCTCAGGTATGATCTCAAGGTTGTGAGACAGAGCCCTGTGTGAGACTTCGTGTTCAGCTCAGAGTCTGCCTGAAATTCTACCTCTCCGACCTCCTCCCACATGCTCACATGCATGCTCTCTCTCAAATAAATAATCTTTACCAAAAGGAAAAAAAAAAGGAAGGAATCTGGGTCCATGATGACTTCAAAGTTTCATACTGGCCTTGAGTTGCAAGAGACCTACATTTCTATCTTGAGGAAACCATTGCCTCTTTGAGCTAACACAATCTTAGATATAAGTAACACCCAATTAATGCAAAAACTGAAAATAATTTAAGATTTATCTAAAATATATCATTCCCCTACTTTCCACCCTTGAGCAGACAGTGTTTTCAACATAGTATGTTGAGATAAATGTGAGATAGGTATCTCTGAAAAGAGAAGGTAACACAGTAGGAACTTTTCATATTGTTCTACAATTTAATTTTTTATATAATAGCGAGTTGTAAATATTTCTCTAAGTTGGTACTTGTAGAATTTTATTCTTCATAATAAACCTTTAAAAGAGAACATGTTAAAAACTT